TATAAGCGCCCATATAAGCGATATGGCATGATGGTGAGATGGATTACTTAATGTGAGATGACCATTCTACACTGTTAGATTCAAATTAATGGTTAGATTTAAACTAATAGGTTAATTAATTAATGATATAGCCCCTATACTTATTTAATTTTCCTGTCAAATCTTTTCTAGACCTAACCCTAACCAAAACCCAAACCCAAACCCACACCCTAACCCAACCCAAACTCGAACACTAACCCTAACCCGAACCCTAACATGAACCTGAACCCATTAACCCTCTAACCCTAACCCTAACGAACATGAACCTACTAACCCTAACCCTAACACGAACCCTAATCCGAACCCTAACCTTAACCCTCAATCCGAACCCGAACCTACTAACCCTAACCCTGACCCTAACCTGAACATGAACCCGAACCCTAACCCAAACCGTAACACAAACCCACTAACATAGTCAAATAAGGGTTGATTAAGTTGAAGGAGATCCTATAACTCTCAAAATGTCTGGTTCCTAAGTAAACTATTCTTCTCTACACAAGTAGCAAACCGTAAGAGGGCAGGTTGGGTTCCCCTGTTATTCCTCCGTTGATCAAGTCAATGAGTTAATTGAGTGGAGAAGTAAAATTGAACTGAAGTAGTTCTTAAGCACGACCAGTAGTGAGAATGATCTTACCCTGTAATTGAAAATAGTATCTCTTTTTATAGTAGTGGTAGAAGGGTAAAATGGTAACTTCGGCTAAGTATGGGGTGGCAGCCACATTAGCCTCAGCTTTATAGGTGTTGGCCGACGAGTGGAGAAGATGTCACTTCAGTATTTAATGCAAAGTGATTGGAGGTGTGCGGTGTCGACATGGTCCGATGTGTTATAAAGACTATTGGGTATAGAGGAATGATGGTGCCCATAATACATTTAATGGTATTTATTATGAGGTGATTGGTCATCAGTGCAGTCGCCTTTCTACTCGTTTGGTGGTCAAGAAGAACCACCTTTTGAGTTACCCTCGCAGGGTATCAGCCGATTAGTTGACCGAGTGGAGTGGTTAAGCAGTCGACTCAGCTAAGGGACGACACGTAACGCCTTTCGGGTCATATATGATATATATCTATATAATATAATAGATATATATATATATATATAGTATATATATAATATATATATAATATGTGTGTGTGTGTGTGTGTGTGTGTGTGTGGTGTGTGTGTGTGTGTGTGTAGACACATATACATATATAGCATACATATAAGTGTATATATATTGTGTGTGTATGTATATGGTTGTGTGTGTGTTATATATATAATATATATATATAATATATATATATATATATATATATATATATATAATATATTATATAATTATCATATATATATTATATAATATAATATATATATATATATTATATATCTGTGTGTGTGTGTGTGGTGTTGTGTGGTTGTGTATACACACACACATACATATATACATATAATATGTATGTATATAGTATATGTGTCTATATCATATATACATAATGTATATTATATGTATGTATATATGTATACTGTTGTCTATAATTATACTATATACTATAGATAATATTATAATATATTATATTATAATATATAACCTAATATATAATATCATATATATATAATATATAATATATAGATGTGTGGTGTGTGTGTGGTGTGTGTGTGTGTCAGCATACAACGCCACAGACGAGGGCCAGAAGAGACGTGAGAATCAAAAGTACTGCTGACTATTTTTTACTGCAAGAAAGCCTCCAAATTCTCTCCTGCTTCCTAAAATATTTCTTTATTTATTTATTAAACCAAAAGATAAACATGTTAGACAGCTTCATATCATGTAAAATAACCAAGGAAAAGTCATACTAATGACCAACTCTAGGAAAATAGCATAGTTACCGCGCAAGTCAGGCTGTTCTATTTGGAGCCAAGGCCGTGCCGCGCCCGGGCTTGCCCAGAAACCCGGGCCTGACCGGGTTCACGGCGCCCTAAAGCCCTGGGCCAGTCATCGGCGCTCCGACCGCGCCGGACATGGACGTGGGCCCCGGCCAGGTATCATACGACGCAGGAGCGTCGGCCAGGTCCGCGGCCGGGCCGACGAAAATAGTTATTTTTGTGACCGTTGGCTGGTTGGACCGGGTCGGGTCCGGGCCGGACATTTTCGGACCCAGCCCGGTCCGATCGGCCATAACAACCATATTTTGTCTTTTGACCAAAATACCCCCAAAAATGATAAAAAAAAGGCCAAATTTTGAGGGTATTTTGATCATTTGGATAGACCAAATTTAGAAACAAACATACTAGTTGAAATATCTGCAATCCGGACATGACCGGGCCTGGCCAGGTATCATACCGAGCAGGAGCGGTCAGGCCGGACCCCAGGTCGGGCCGGTGAAAATAGTCATTTTTGTGACTGTTGGCCCGTTAGACCAGGTCGGGTCTGGGTCAGGTTCGGGCCGGACACTTTCGGACCCAGCCCGGTCCGATCGGCCATAACAACCATATTTTGGCTTTTGACCAAAATACCCCCAAAAATGATAGGGTATTTTGATCATTTGCATAGGGGATTGCCTCTATAAATAGAGGGGATTTTATTTGTTTTTCATCCAAAACTCATCTACTTCTCTCTAATACTCTCTAATACTCGTTTTTGCTCTCTAATTCTTCAATCAAATGGCTTCCTCCTTTGATTATGAAGGGCAAATCCTAACTCTCAATCTTGAAATGAGTCATAATACTCCAACTACAGGAGCTACAAGTATTGCTCCTACTCCTACCGATGTTGATCATGACTCTAGTGGCGGAGATTCTGCACCAAGAGCTCCTAAAAGGCTGAGATCTAATGTGTGGAACTTTTTCGAGAAGATAGAAGTCACCAGGGATCAACACAGTAGGCTTCTAACCCAGAAGGCTAAGTGTGGGTTAGCGTGGGTTGTGCGGACATATTTTCCAAGCTCATCATAAGAACGGTACCAACCACCTCAAACACCATTTAGATAAACACAAAAAAGGTTAGGCAATACCTCAAGATGATATCCGATAATCTTTACTCTCCCAATCTTCATCTTCCGACAGTCTCGGTAGTTGGAACTATAACACAGTCCAAGGCAGGAAATGCGTCATCAGGTTTATTATTTTTAAAAACGTTCCTTTTAAATTAGCAGAAGATGATGAATTTGAAGATATGTTTACAGATGGTTTTTATCTCGCATTTAAAAAAATTTCTCGTCAAACTTGTCAACGTGATATTTTAAAATATTATCAGGGGGAACATGCAAAAATAATTTCTTATTTTTAAAGTTTAAACTGTAAATTTTTTTTAACTTCTAATATTTAGATATTTAGAGCAAAAACTGGTTATTTATGTATCACAGCACATTGGATTGATGATAATTGGCAAATATTTAAAAGAGTTATTTCTTTTATTGCATTTGAAGATTCACATAGTAGTATTAATATTATAAATTTAATAATTTAAGAACTTATAAAATTAGAAATTTTAGAAAAAAAATATGATTTTTTTTCACTAGATAATGCAAGTAATAATAATGTAGTTGTTGATCACATCATAACATCTCTGTTATTGTCATGTCATGGTGATTTTTTTCATATTAGATGTGTGTGTCATATTTAAATTTAATTGTTCAAAGTGCATTTAGTGAAATTAAATTCATGTTAGAAAAGGTCAGGACAGTAGCTTATGCTCATATTGCTTCTGAACAAAGAATTAAAAGATGAAAATAATTGTGTAAAAGAAAAAATTTTAAACCTAGACTAACTCCAAAAGATGTTGACCATAGGTGAGACTCTATCTATGCAATGTTAAATGTAGCAATACAGTATAAAGAAATTATAAATAATTTTATTGCTTTCTATACTTCTAATTCTAGCTCTGGTAGTATGCATGGAAAAACTAAGGATGAATGGACAGTTATATATAGTGTAAAAGAGATGTTATAAGTTTTTTATGATGTTACTATGTTATTATCTGGTTGTTATTATCCAACTATTATTCAAGCTCCTTTACAAATTTTAAACATTCAATTTTTTTAATAATTATCGTATGAATAATTATTTTGGAAATATAATTTTTCAAATGGAAAGTAAATTTAATAAGTATTTTAGGTCTATTCCTATTGTTATTGGTTTGGGGGTTCTTATTGATCCATGTTTGAAGGATATTGGTCTTTGAAGTTTGTTAAATTCTTTGTATGGTAGCATGATAATAGACACTGATTGTGGTCAAACTATTGCTGCTCTTACTCATCATAATACTATTAGAAATTATTTTTAAAGATTATATGATGAGTATGTAGGTAGATATGATGTAAGTACACATCAATATACAACTTCTGTTTCTACGAGTTCAAGTCGGGGCAAAGGTATGAGTTTTGATAGGGAATCAATGGTACTAGCTGAGCTAACTTGTGGATCTAGAATTGGATCATCAATGAAAGTTTCTGAAATTGATCAAAATTTAACCGCATCTTTAGTTAAATGTCAAAATAGTAGTTTTAATATTTTACAATGGTGGAAAGTATATGGAACAGTTTCATATCCTATACTTTCCATCATGGCTCGTGACCTACTAACAGTGCAGGTTTTCATAGTAGCTTCGGAACCTACCTTCAGCACAGCATGACGTTTGATCTACGACCACAAGACATCGTTAGATCCATATACCATACAGACGGTAATATGCCTACAAGATTGGTGGAGGTACGAGAAGAGAACGCAAAGTATCGATCGGATGACTGATATTAAAGAAAAATTTAAAGAGTTGAGACTAACAGATAGATATAAAGAGTAGAGATTATTCATCAGTTTGTAATTTTTATTTCTTAGCTGAAAATTTGTGATAAATTATTTTGGAAAAAATTACAAATGATAGTAATATAGATGAGTAGGTGTCAACCTAGTTGGGATGTATTCATCTATTGTGATGTGATGAATTCTAAAATAAATTTATAATTGTAGATGATTAACTGATTATTAATAAAGAAGTTATTTTTATCATTTTAATTTTATAATTTTTTGTATGTGTAAATTATATGTGTAAATTATATAATTACAAGTGATTAATAATATGATTGTTTTTATTAAATTTTGTTTAATTTTTTGCTATGTATTATTAAAAATAAAAAAATAAAAAACAGGCCGGCCCGATGCCCGGCCCGCTCAGGCCCAGGCCCGGGCCAACCGGGTCTGGGCACGGGCCCGGTTTTGCCCGGACTGGACCCTGTTTTTTGGGCGAGGCCGGCCCGTTTGGACAGGCCTACTACTTTATTAATACATTCAAGCCAACAGCTTCGGTGCTCCCAAGCAGTTGGTATAGTTTGTTTCCTTAAAAATCTCTCTCACATCCTAAATTTGAGGGATAAGATGATTGAAAGTAGTTCCACACCCAAAAAAGTAATTTCACTTAGGGCCCGTTTGGATAATGGAAGTATTGGAAGTAAGAAGTAAGTTGTGGAAGTAACTTCCAAAACTATGAAATAGGAAGTAGCGGAAATAGCATTTTTTTTGTTTGTTTCATATATTTTTAGAAGTAATGGAAGTAGAATTTCTTCCTCTTCATTTACTTTTTTTGTTTGGATAATATTTGGAAATATTACTATGAATTAATTAATACATGTTGCTTCCATTTTATTCTTATTTGGATTGTCATTGAAATAGAAATAGAAGTATTATAACACATAGTATTCTTGCTGCAATGATATTGAAACATAATTGATTGCTTGCTGCCGCAATTGTCGGAGACTCGCAGTACAATTTTGCTACTATATATGGCAAAATTTGATAATGAAATATGATTTTTATAACGGGTGCCTATAGGCACTTACTAGAGGATGATTATCTATCAGATTTTGCAAGCTTTATACTTTCTTTTAAAGCATCACATATATTTCTACTATACATGTATCATATCATACTATTTTCTTCTTATTATTGTCTTTATTTCTAATTTATGAATTTCCATTAAAAACAATATTTCCAATTTATGAAGGGGAAAAAAATCTTTTATATATGTCACATGTTCAACAGAAAAGTATGTCGTTCATCAATTTCAATAACAATATTTTTTATATCTACGAAAGCAAAAAATGCATGAACGACATTCATCAATTTTAATAATAATATTTTTTATATCTACGAAAGCAAAAAATGCATGAACGGCATCACTGTCATAATTTTTTTAAAATATTTATAAAAAAGATTTTATGATTACATATCAACTTCCGCCGTAATTATGATTTTGAGAATCTTTTTTCTTTCGTGGACCCCACCCTACATCAACTTCCGCCGTATTTCAGTGCATTTAAAGACGGAAAAATATCAAGGAAATAGAGGTGCCACGTAGACGCCACGTCAGCTTTTAATGAAGTAGCGGAAGCAGTTTTTACAAAGAAACAAACATACATTTTTGCCAAGAAATAGCAGAAGTAGCCTCTACTTCCTCTACTTCTGCTATTTCATAGTTACTTCCGTGCAAACAAACGGGCCCTTAGATAAAAAGGTTATTTTAGGAAGTATAAATAAGAAGATAAATAGGAAGTAGTTAGAATTCTCCAACTAATGAAAAACTCTCGGAGTCTTTATTTTTTTGACGTGGTTTTCTTCTCCAATCCCCTAATTCATTACGCGGATGGCCAAACCTAATGGAATTTAATTTTTGATATGGTCATCGATCCTATGAAATACTTCATACGAGCGTCTTCTTTCTCTAGAGTAGTGAGCTCGAGATCATGAGTGTCGCCACCGGGCCAATCTGACTGGAAATAAATTGTTTTTGCATGGAGGAACTGTAGTATGAGCCCGGCATTAATTGGCTTTCTCTTAGGCCTTGGGAACCTTCATTCGATTAATTTTCAACTAAACAACTGAGATTTTGAATGAACATGATTGCTTTGTTTAAGTTCATCAACATGGTTGATGATCGATTTTCTTCGGATCCAATTTCCTTGTATCGCATTCAATCACATGTTAGATTTCTTGTTGATATCTTTATTGAGGAATTTTCTTAGCGTAATTAACCTATGATTCTATTTAAACGGATTTATACGCGTTTGATGGAATTCTGTGGATGAGAAATTGGTGGATACGAAGAATTTTTTGTTTTTCCAAATTTACCCTTTTTCAAAAATAAATTAATAAACGATTTTAGGAGCACCGAAGCAAAGCCCATATTATTATTCATTGATATATTTTGAACATGTTTGACAAAAGGTCAAGGTGACTTGTAAGCTATTTGGAGATATTTGGCAAATGGCTTATATCGACTTATAAGCCGTGAAAAAAGCTAGAGTATTCTAGCGTATTATTGATAGCTTATAAGCCATGAAGTTGTAAAAAACCATTTTATTCTTTATGATTTCTCAAAGTCAAAGGCCTCTTTTAATAAATCATTGCCAACTCATGTCCTTTTTAATTCATCATTTTGACAGTGAAGAATTGATCTACCTATTTGCAAAACACTTTACTATTAAAAGTAGATTATAATTAATCAAATTTAGCAAATATGTTAAATTATAATGTATTAGGACGATATGCATGCTGAACTAATAAGAGTCGTTTAATTCTCATGAAACTCTCGTCGTACAATGACATGATTATCTCCATTCTTTTCTTCTGTCGGTCATCATCGTCAACCATGGGGAGGACTAGATGCTGGAATTTAGTTGAGAAATGACATAGTTAATCGCGCGTGTTAACCGTGTTATGGAGAATTAGTCATTTATGTATGGCTAATTTTTTTTATTAAATTTAGACTCTGTGATGTCCAAATAAATAAATAAATAAGTGACGAGTATCTAACTTTAAAAGTCTACGAACGGGTAATGATTTTTAATTCAGACATAAAAGCAAAATTAATAGGATAACTTTCACTAAACCCTTTTTGGACGTTTGATAGTTTTAACACCCAAAAAAGTTTTGAAACTACCACTAAACTCCCAAAGCTTTAGAAATTTTAGAAAACCTCCAACATATTTTGATTTTGTCACTTGAGCCCCATAACGACTCCATATTTTAAGTTTCCAAACAAAGAATATCACATAAAAACCATAAAGTGGTTGTTAAGGGATAAGTGAAAAAAAAAACGAAAACCGTTTTGGGGATTTTCTTAGATTCCCAAAGTTATTGGGGGTTTAGTGAGAGCCAAATTCTTTGGGAGTTAAATGCCAAACACCAAAAACTTATCGGGAGCTTTATGAAATTTACCCAAAATAATACCTATGTCTACTCTTGCATGTATTGCGCTTGAAATTGTGTATTAATAGACTTTTTAATCAAGTTAAGTATCTACATAAAATGTGTTACATGTAAAGAAAATTTGCATCTATGATGTAGCTACATAAAATGTGTTGCATATAAAAAGAATTTGCGCCTACTATGTATCAACATACCAATGGATGGATTTCTTTTTCAGACCGACTTTTATGATTTTGTTTGCTTCCTGCAAAACAGAAATATTTCTGACCATCACAGACTGAAGAAAAAAAAAACATCTGTGAAAGGGCTTTTTCCCATGTAATTAATGAGTAAAGTAATACAGAAATTGCAATTTAAAAAATATACATATGCATTGACTACCCCATCTTCGGTTTTTTTTATGAGAAAATTCGGATAATTTATTTCTGAGCCTAGATTTCAATAATTATGCTTGCTTTAGTCACCACACAATCAAGCTAGCTAAGTATATTCTTAATTTTGAGAAAGGATAAATTGCATAAAATCACCCTCTCTCCAATAAATTGAGGGAGGATGAGAACTGTGGTTTCTATCAGAATCAGTCGCATGCGGCAACCGGTTCTGAGCCCTTCAACGGGCAAAGTGGGGGGCAAAACTGTAATTTCACCTCTCATATGAGGGGCTCAGAAGCAGTTGCCGCATACGACTTATTCTAAAAGGATCAGTAGTCGCAGATAAGTACTAATAAAAGAGTAATTGGTTGCTCTGATTTTCTACCAACATCTAAATATATTTTTTATATACTCTGAGTTTATCATCTCCAATATTTTTAGGGCAACATGATTTTTTTTACTTTTTATCGTGTCTTTGATGTATACGGGAATCGAACCTAAGCCCCAACGATGGAGAGAACACGGCCTAATTATGTGACCTACTAGACCG